GTCGATTGGGCATGGCATTCCCTCCGCCATTACCGCGGACTGTGACGCCGCACTATTGACTACTCCTCCGGGAGGACCAGCCTGAGAGGCTATGATGTTGTCTGGAGCAGCCCTACTCGGAGAAGCAGAAGGCCAGACAGACATCGCAGCGCCAGACCCTCACCGTCTCCTTCACCATCTCCGTCTCCTCCACCTCAGCGTAGACACAGAAGCAGGAGCAGAAGAAGAGGTCCTTCAATGGAGCAGCGTATGCAGCATGAGGCGGATCAACAGCGCAGACAGAGACAGATGCCCAGCACCCTGGTTGATACCGATGTCAGCATGCCACACAACCTCAAGCAGTACAACATTAATTGGGCAAGTTTCGAGGTGCAAGGATTTGAACTTCCCCGCCAGTCTCAGCAGTATGTTCAAGCGATTGCATGTGCTTGCAGGTTTGGAATACAGCGTGGTATTTTGCTGGAGCATGACTATGGGTCTGATCGAGGCTTGTGTACATGGGATAATCCCAACCCAGAGCATCTCTACCCATTATTTGTTGACCTCGCAGGACTTGACTGTCAAGGATGCCCCATTGCCCAGCAGAGACAATCAGATGCTGTTCTGGGCACATGCTGCAACAGTTGGTGGCTTGCATTCTATTCTGAAGTTTCGCAATATGGCACCTATGGAGGCACACAATGCGCCTAACAACAACACGTTCTATGCCATAGGCCACCCAATGTACGGTGGCCCTGAGGATGACTGGTCCATTGCAAGGGTCATCCACAACGCTGCCACGTCTGCGAAGAACGTGGCACAGATCATCGTATGTGGCACTGCGTGGGGATCCTTAGCGAAGATTTCTGGGGGATCATGGGTGACCTCGGTCAAGGCAACTGAAAACGACCAGGTCTATCGGGACAAGAATGGCACGGCATACGTCATTTCGCGCAACGGATATAATATTGCTGGAGTTGCTTATGCCGCCACCATGAATCCCCCAAGCACGGCTGCTACCTTGTTGCATGAGTATGCCCGAGCCTCTGGACAAGACGTCGCTCGCTCATCCAGAGCCGCAGCAGCACTACTCAACCGATGAGGCTGCACCACAATTCCTTGGCATTGCAAAGATCGATGCGTACTATATGCATATTCTGCCGACACTTGGATGCTGCATTGCGCCTTCCAACAATTCTTGCAGAATCACTGCCCTATAAATCTTTGGCGTTGCGGAGATCAATGCTGTATTATACACGTATTCTGCCGACAATTGGATGCTGCATCATGCCTTCCAACAACTCTTGCAGAATCAATCGCCATTCAGTACAAAACAGAGTGTGGAAGACCGTATTGCCCATACATGCTACAGTAAGTCAACCAGGCAGCCGACCTTGAACATGAGCCCACCACATGTACTTGGATGTATTTTGGTTCCAGTGAAATCACACACATTACTCTAGTCTTGTTCCTTTCTTTTCGTCTTTGGTTCTGGGTTCTGTTTCTACGGTTCTGTTTATGTAAAGTTAAGATCCCTAACATGTCGGAGCCATGGAACGCGCAGTCATGGGCAGCCAGCGATTGGCAACAATCCAGTTGGGATGATCTTGCAACTCAATGGTATGATCCGGAGCACAGGTATGGATATGACAGCCGCCAATCCACCATGGGCCAGAATCAAGGCGACGCAGAGCTCCCACCACATTTCAAATCCAGCAACAACTACCTGGGTGAGACTTTGGTTTACAGAAGCACCCTCAAGCGCTACATTGAACCATCAGCGTGGTCCAGAGCTAAAGGCATTGCAGGCAAACCAGTACAAGATGTGAAACTCACAGACCTGACCCACAAAGGCATTCAAGAGTGGATGATCAGGGGTCTCAGCCATGGTAAATTTACAGGTGTGGTCCTCACCAAGTCCGTCGCGGAGAGCGTCCTCACAGCGAGGTTGTTGTCAGCATTGAGAGAGCAAAAGGTGGACATCGATGAGACAGTTAAGGCCATGCACAAGGGCAAGTCCAAGAAAACAATTCCAGACAAAACCAGTGAGGCCACCAAGTTTATTCAACCATTAATGGATGTAGTCATGCAACAGTTACAGCCCTACCTCGTGACCGTCGATCAAACAACAACAGCCACAAGTTCAGGTGACAACAAGGAATTTCAGGACATGCAGCAGGACAATGCCAAGCTACGTCAGAAACTCCAACAAGCAGGGATCCCAATCACACCGGTGAAGAACAAATCCACCAAGCGTCATGCAGAACCGACAGCCTCTAGTCCTGAGGAGAACGCAGACAACGAGGACCATGAGCAACCACTTCCCGTACAGGAACCAACCGCCAAGAAAAGGAAGACAATCTATCAAGGTAAGAACAAGGCCGACTTGCTCGACGAACCTACAGACGTGTTGTCAGACAATCTCCCCAACAACGTCAACAACACCAAGTCATGGGTGGCAGCTATTCGCAAAGAAAACAGAAGCAGTTCGATTCTCACGTCAACAAAATGCTGCAGGTGATCGAAGGCAAGAAGTACAAGAAAGACCAATTGCAAACCCTGGCGACGAGATGGGGACTCCCATTCAGCATGGCCAACACAGCAACTCCGAAGAGTTTGCAGAACATTATAGCCGTGGCAACCTGGCATTCCTTGTGACACATACAAACGCTCATCAACACCTCAATCCAGAACTCCAACAGACAACCTGGAGAGGTCACATTCAAGGAGACGGCCAACATAATCGATGGGCTGCAAGCAGTGATGCAGTTCTTCCAGTTCTTGGTTATTGAAGTTCCTAATGTTTCTAAAGAGGTTATGTTATGGTTAGTTGGTTCAATCTTTTTAGTGTTTCTCTTTTACCGTTCAACCGCAACCACAACAGCAAAAGAGCTTCGCGAAAAGCTGAAACAAAAAGGATGCATTCCAGAGCTGTACACGTTCTCTAGATTTCAACAAGTCAATGCAGTGTATGCCAAAACGATGCTTCCGACGTTCAAGAATGGCTTCGCGCAGTTCAACAATCAGCAATCCATCATGTACATTGGTTCGACAAGGCTCAAGCCAGCGCAGAGAGAGTTCAACAGACAGGCGAAGCTGAAACAGTTAAAAAGAGGATCATTGCCAAAGGTGGAACTGGCCATCAGGTATTGGGTGGATAATTCAAACTATGATGGCTTTATCATCCTGGCACTCGGTGGTTACAGTGGGTACCGTGATGCATGGGCTGCCGAACACTCGATTATTCAGTCTTGGCAAGCTCGTCTGAATCACCCATTCATCACCAAGTTCCTGGTGAAAAAGGCACATGGCCTTGCGCCAGCCAAACACCGTCCGTCAATTCAGCCAGGCAATGACACACTTGGCATCAAGCTATTCAAGAAGATGCGTCGGCGCCTACATCAACATCGCTCTCAAGAATCGCGCTTGCTACCTCAGCTTCCTCAGATGTGGGAGCTATTGTATGATCTATCGTCAAACACAATCAAGGAGTTCGAAGCCAGCAAGCTCCTACGCAGCGGCAGGTATCCCTCAGAAATTGGATTGGTTCTTTACAGACTTGCAAATCATTTGGAACAACCCTGGAGGTCCAAGTGTACAACAAGACTGAAGCTGATCCTTCAATTCAGGAACCAGTCCATCCCCAAGAAAAACCGCCCCCTTAAGATTCAATTTCTTGCTCATGAAGGATTTCGTATGCAAGTACAACAATTTTTGCATCAGGAGGTGCGACGTGCCCAGCCGGTGTTGATACCATATCACCTACCAACTACAAGACCATTGGAAGCTCCGCCAATCAAGGTCATCAAGTTGCTGTGGAGTGATGTCAAAGCGTTACCAGCACCGACTAGCGCATGTTCTTGCAAACAATTCCTCAGCAAACACTACAGAGCAGACAATGTGGATGGTCATGTGGTTACAGGATTGGAGACATTAACGTTGCCATCAAGCATGCAGCACTTTCAGGACATGGGTGGTGCTAATGCATACTACGACAACAAGCACAAGTTCTTTGACAAGTCCATGCAGACCATGACCAAGTGGATGCAGCATCATCAGTTTCCAACCTATCTAGGCACAAAGCAAAGATTTCGACAATTGTTGGAAGAACAGTGGAAACATCATTCTCAGGCATTGCGATGTAAACCACGCTACACAGTAGGTGGAATCAAGTACCTTAAGTCCTTCATCCCCGTTGACTTCGTCGTACACAATGAGGACCATGCCAACAACCACATCATGTTGCACTGCTCTCAGGTGTATAATCAGGCGGCAATCAACTCTTGGTCAGATCCAGGTGTGTTTATGGAGCTGAACGACGACCCTGAGCAATTAAAAGCCCAGATGAAGCAGCACATGCCTCAATCCCTTTCCAAACAACAGCAACAATTGGTGGATTTCAGCAAGGATCTTCCATATGGCTACATCATGATGAAGCGGAAAAAGCAATGGACAAAGGGCAGAACAATCGTGGCGTATGGTTCTACATGCATTGGAAAGCTCCTTGAGTTAGCCGCCTTAGCCATTCAAGAATTGCTGAATTCTACTTGGCCGTCCCACTTTGGAAATCGGCTAACACCTACCATTTGGAAAGACATTCATCGGTTTTTCGAGACAACTGCGTTGGATGACAACCTTGTGTTCCTGAACCATGATTTGGTTGGATTTTTCAATTCCATTCCCCAAACAACCATTCTGTCTGCACTTCAGTCGTTAATTCAGGACTTTTTGACTCTTGGACATTCTGAGACTCTTATGGTTGATCTACATTCGACAGTGGGACCAGTACATGCAGGTAGGTCCAGGTTCAGTGTCAAAGCCAATCAGATCGAAATCAACATGGAACAGCTGATGGACATTATTCAATTCTCCTTTTCTTCTGGGTGCTTCACTACATTGGACAAATGTTACCGACAAGTCCAAGGCACTTCCATGGGAAATCAGGTCAGCCCCATTTTGTCTTCACTTTCCATTGTGGCGTTTGAGAGAGCTTGGCTGCACACGCATGCTACGGCACTTTCTAGACTTCGTTCTAAGATCCTGGTCCTTCGCTATGTGGACAACCGTGCCATTTTCATCCATGAAGAACTTTTGCAATGTTCTCAGTTTCGCGACTTGGTGAGTCTTGATTTTTTTCCCAAACCCATTCAATTGGAAGATGAAGAGCACAACGAGTTTCTTGGACTCCGCATCAACCCTCTTTGTCGCGAAGTCTCTTACATGTTGAAAACAGAGAAGTGGAGATATCGACTACCATGCTCCGCAGGCAGCCAGCAACTCAACCTTTCAGGTTACAGATCAAGACGACAGCTAATTAGCAAGTTCGTGTTTCCTTGGACCATTAAATGCCAGCAGACGCAGGCCCTTAGGGATATGTACAGCAGATTGGGATTTGATGTTCACCGCCTCTGAAAATCAAGCGCTGCGTTTTTGCTTGTGTTTTAGACGGTTGATTTTTGACCTCTTGGCCTTCTCTCTTTGCAGTAAGGTTCAAACCGTCACAGTTAGAAGGGCCATGAAAAAGGTTATATCTCCAGGAACCGATCGGACATGTGACATGTCCACCGACAAGGAAGCAGCGTCATCCAGCACAGAGCGACCTTGCAGATCCAACACCGACGTTGTTGCGGAAATCCTGCAAGACGATACCACGCAGAGAAGATTACTTGAAGCAGGATCGGAGTTGATGCTGCAACAGCATCTGGACTACAATGGATGCCTCACCATCAACGAGCAGTCCAAATGGAAGCACATTATTACTAACGCCCTGTCAGAGAAGTCGTTTAACGACACATCAAAATACTTGCTCGACAAACTCAGGGAGCCCTACAGGACAAAACTGCTCAAATTCATTTATTCGAATTGCGGCCTCCTGGAGACACACAAGTGACATACTCGTGACCATGATGTTCAAAAAAAGAATCTGTGCCCACATTAGCAGTGCAAGCAGTTGAGTGCGAAGTTGGCAAATCAACGTTTTGTTTGGTGTCTCTCACTTTAGCTGGATCAAGCCTCTAACTAAGACCTTCTTCACATGTTTTTTTTTCAATGGTCTTTTCCTTTCTTTTCTTCTTTTCTTTTATGATTTGTTTCGTCAGGTTCTAAATAGTCTACTACCTAACCGCCATGGAGCCCAACACGACAACAGCGACTGCAGCAGACGATGACTCCCAATATGTCAAACAACCGCTTATGGCCATACAGTCCTGGATGCAGCACACTGAACGCGAACTCAAGGCAGTCAGAAGTGATCTGGATGCGCACAGACAGTTCCAGTACAATTCCAACGATCAGCTGCACAATCGATTTGGACATGTTCATCAAATCACCGTGGACATTCGCAGCGAAATCAAGCACATGCAGTCGCATCTGCAAGATGTCACAGCCAAAGTGTAGGAGATAGACACCAAGCTCGAGCAACAATCTGCGTTGCTGAGACAACTCCTGGCAGAGCTTGCAATCATCAGGAATGCGGAGACCCAGCCCATGACCACACAGGTGATCCATGATGATTGACAGACATGAAACTATGAATGTCACACAAGAAAGGTCTTCCAGGTTGCGATGCAAAACAATGAGTGGAGCATGCGTTCGCTTCAGACAGATGATGTGGCTGTGCCTTGTTACAAGTTTGCTTGCGTTGTTTGCTTTGCTTTTAGGTTTGGTTCAAAGTGTGTAGCCCTTAGATTGTTCCTTTGTTCGCATCATGGAATCAATGGTCACAATGATTGGTGTATTTCCGCTTCAAGATGTGATGATCCTTGCCATTATCATGGAGTTCTTAGCCAAGCAACATGTACATGTGGAGGCCCGCATTCCTTTCATGCGAAGAAATCCAAATCATCCTGATGTGCATCAGACACGAAACCGCATCCAGCTCTTTAAGGATGAATGGCTGCTTACAGTTGAAGCTTCAACAATCAAAGAAGACGTTGGATGGCGAGGTAAAGAAAACAACTGTCGAGCCGTGAATACAGCAACTTCATATGACAAAGGCTTTCGAGTTCAATTTCAACATTGGTCAACCATCTTGCTCACCCGGTATGCAGCAATCAGCAAAGACTGGTACAACAGCACGGATACTTTCGGTGATCAGCTTGTTCGGGTTCCGACACGCAATCCTAGAAGGCGCAGTTCTGTGGATGAGTTCACGGTGCATGACAACGACAATGAGTACCATGTAATAACTGGCTGCGAGATTCTTCTTACGTTGACATGTCATGCAGTGAGGCGTCCATTACATTCGTCAACTATGTCCTGAACAACACTTGATCTTCAGGTATCCAGCACGAACTCATACAAGCTGCTGCCGTGGTTAAAATTAAATTTTGACCGCCAGGTTTAGCAACCCGCAAGACGGGATTTTGTGTGTGGGGACCCCGAACTTCTAAGGAGTAGGTTTTGGCCCTTTTGTTGTCTGGTCTTTTCTTGGGTTGTTCATTCTGGTGATGCTTCAATAACTCGTGCAGAGAAACGCTCTGTTATCAAGAAGGGGATGCTTCCGTATTTCGTGCAGAGAAGTGCTCTATTGTCAAGCAAGGGGGTGCAAGGGACTGTGCAAGTCTTGCGCCAACGAAGACACTTGCATATGTCCGTGATGGGAGTTGGGACGCCGACTCCTGTACCTGCAATATTGTGATATCGTTCTCATCTATTGCTATGCTGTACAGTTCCGGATTGTTGTTGCTCCCACTAGTGCCTTGTAGCTATTC